AAGTCCAGAAGCAGCGCTGCGGGACTAACACCTCCTTTTGGGGAATGTGTCCCTGACACCGACAACATAAAAGAGGTTCACCTTTAATTTGATATGAAGGGAATTGGGGAGAAAAATCTCAACTCAAAGGAAAACTCAATGTTAGTTTCAAATGAACTACAAAACATTTGTTTCTGCCAAACATTAATAATAGTATTCTGTTTGTAGCAGATATTTACCACTAGTAGAAACTTGGATATTGAAAGTTAATAGTGAAAGTTTTGGTTCGTTTTTTTATTTTAAATTGAATCTCAGAATCAAGGAAATTACAGCAACATCCTGAAAATCCATTCAAATATTTGGTTTGTTGTTAAAATGCAACTAAATAAATTTAATTTCATAGAGATCATCAAGTTAAACTAAACAGGATGTGTTTTTATATTTAAATTAGATTACAATTTAAAATCATAAATCGAATGTTAGATTACACTACTGTCCCTACGACTGTCAATATACCCTGAATATTATGGTAAATAGAAAATAAATAAAACAGCCATGTGAAGATGACGTCATTTTGATTTATTTATAATCGAAGTTTGGTTGTTTATCCTGGAGAATAGAGTATTCTGTAGATGGCTTCAGTCTGATGACTGGATGGCTCCACTTCTTTCCTCGTCTACATTTGAAAATAAACACTCTGAGAATCATAGAAGACACATTTCCAAAGCATCAGCATCTGAATGGAGAGAACGTGTCATAACTGTTGTCCAGGCTGGACAGGAGCATGTGCTAAACGCCACTCAGGGCCCAGTCCATTCAAACAGCAAACAGGCCACTCCAGTGACGTGTAGGAGCATTGGGAAATCGAACTTTTATTGCAGAGTGGCTCATCGTGAACATCAGAGAGAGAATGTATATACACACCACAAAAGAAGGACAAGAGGAGAGTGATGAGGATCAGTTCAGATTTATAGGAATCTACACACGCCTGTCTGCGAAAAAAAACGGAATCTACACACGCCTGTCTGCAAAAAAAACAACGTATTTACAGGTACAAAAAAAGTATAAAAAATATCTGGACAGCATCAAAAAATCAGCAAAAAATATTTATAGGAATGACTTCCAGTTAAAAAAAAAAACACCACCACGTCATCGTGGGAAAAAATAGTTGGGAATGTTTCATAGAAAGTGTTTTACTGTACAAAAGATTTCAGGCTGTACAATAAAATATACATCAACACAGTCTTTGGCCCACGCTCCGTGTCACTGGGGCCACGGCCTCCACACCGGCTCGGCAAAGTGCGTGGGTGCAGGCGTGGACGTGGAGTGGTGGAGCAGCGTGCTGCTCTCACAGTGGAGCCCGATCCTGTGGCTCAGGTACGGGTGGGAGAAGCCGTACCTGCGGCGATGACGAGCCATAAGTGGAGGAACCTGGGGAGAGGAGTCTCCGCCTCTAGGGGTCAGTGCTGCGTGCGTGTGTCCGGGGGGAGAGTGGTGCCTGTCGGGCTCGGGGGCCACACCGGGTTCCTCCGGGTCCTGGTTCTTGGTGGAGATGAAGTGACTGACCCTCAGCAGACAGGACCTCATGCCGTCGTGGTACGTGTTCTTGTTCTGGCTCGTGCAGGTCTGATCCCTGGGCATGACGTCATTATCCGTCTTCAAGAACTCGACCACACTCTCCAAGATTTCTGCCTTCTCCACCTTCGGGTTCTTCAGTTTCTAAATTGGAAAAAAAAAAACACAATCCCAGATGAGCTCAACCGGCCACTGCATTTCACCCTAACCCGCCGTACTGACACCAACCACTAGGGGGCCCAGCATCCTTACCTCGTTTCTGGTGCTCTCCAGCATCAGAAGTCGTAAAGTCTCCAGACTGTGGTTGATTCGCTCACGTCTGCGTTTTTCCATCAGAGGTTTGGGCACCTGGGGATTCAAACCGGCAACGTTAGAATGGGATGCAGGTTTTTAAAGTCTATATTTCAGAACAAAAAGTGAGTTCTGTCTCACCCTTCTCATGGTCCTTTTCCTGGGAATGTCCGGGGAGGAAAGAACCTTCATTCTCAGAGCTGAGTCCTGGCTGAAGTCTGTGTGTTCACGCTGAACAGAGGAGTGTGTGTGTGTGTGTGTGTTTGCGTCGTGGTTGGAAATATGTTGCTTTCCAGCACACAGCCACACCCCCACGATCACACACCCCCACCCAGTGATCATGACATTGGAGTGGGATGAATGAATGGAATGAATGAAAAAACAATTCCTTAAAAAAGTGGATTAGTGGAATAGAAAAAAAAAACAAAAATAAAAATAAAAAAACACATTTGACTTATATTTTTCGTGTGTTATTTTGGACGAGAAAAATGTGAATTTCATCTAAACTACAAACATTTGTCCAAACATTTTCATTTAAATATAGTCGTATTAGTTCATTTGTTTGTTCATTTGTTTTAAAACTAATTTTCTTTCGTTGCTGTAAAATGATTCAAACTACGGTCGTAAACTTTAACTCACGTTCGGGTTTGTTTTGAACTATTTGGGAACTTTAAATCCTCATTCATTCAAGTCTTAGATAAATGACTGCCAGTGGAGGGAATTTCTAAATTCTAAATTTATTTAAAATAAAATGCACAAACATGACACTGGAACAGATGATCTTAAAACTTTTGCCATTCATGGAAATTATTATCTTTTATTGAAATGTTCAAAGGATCTTAAAACTTTTGCCATTCATGGAAAAAAATGATCTTTTATTGAAATGTTCAAAGTTTTTTTGTTATGATTAATATGGTGATTTAATGTTCATTTTATTGGGTTTTAATGCACGTTTCAATATAAAAGTCGATTTGCATTTAACATAAATTACATTCAGTCTTAAAAAAACAAATGTTTAACTTTCTTTGTTTGTTTTTTTTTTTCATGTCATTTTTCGCTTATTTTTTACGTTGATTTTAATCCGACTTTTTTTTAAAGCGACTTCGTTAATGAGGATGAAATAAAAAACCTCTTTAGCGAAAAAAACACATTTTTTTTCCATGTGAAATATAAATACTGTGAGTTTGTGTTTAAAGGTGACGAGGTATTATGACACGGGCGCANCATAATAGGATTCAGTTTGCATTGTGGAGCCAAATTGGTCTCTTCACACCTCGACGCTCGTGTGGTGTGAATGGCTTGTGTTTCGTTTTGTTTTTGGTCCTCGGTGTGTGTGTGTGTGTGTGTGTGTGTGTGTGTGTTCGCCTCAGCAGCCTGCTGCTGCTGCTGCTGCTGTTTAATCCACTCTTTAAACCGTTTTTTTGAAGAGAGGGGGGAGCGAGGAGGGAGGGGGGGGGCGCGCCCGTGGTCGTCACTGGACTGGATTTATGCCCAGGCCTGATCCTCATAATTGGCTAAAGTGTGGAGATAACAGTGGGATGATGGGATCAGGGGGATCATGGGAGATTAAGAGTCTTCAAAGGCGATGATACTTCCGTTTAAAGTCAAAGAGAAAGTGATCAGTGCAGGGTCAGCGGGTAACCCCCCCACCCCGGGGGTAACCAGGGCAACGGGTCCAACCGTCGGGTGTTCACATGTGATGTTATTTATCCACCTTCAGCAGTTCGTCGTGTTATACGTTAAAAGGAAAGAAATCGGTCACGTGATGTTTTCTGTTTCCATAAAAATTAAAAATGTCAGAGTCGTTTCAAATCGATCGTAAAACTTAAGTTTTACAGGACAGATTCAGTGACAGGACAGATTCGGTTCAAACTGATTTATTTCCAAAATATTCTGTGGCTTTTTCGTTGAATCAACCACACACTGAGAAAATCTGGGAGGGGGAGTTTGGGGGGGTTCAAACGCGTGTAAGGCGCGCATGTGTGCGTGTGCGAAGTCCAAACAGCGGGTACTCAGCGCACACTTAACACTCCAGCGCAATAACCACCCTGAACCTCGGCCCAGACCTCACCGCTTCCCTTTTGTCAGGATTTTACACAAATAACAACCTATTCCTGCAAAATCGTACTCTTCAGCCACACACACACACACATACTCATACCGCATATATATTTACAGCATTAATTCTGTATATGAATTCACTGCTGTGTGTGTGCACCCTCTGTGTGACCTCCTTTTTAATTCCTTTTTCGTCACTTGGTGCCAAGTGTCGACGTCTCACACTTCATAAAAACTCCTCACGTTCTCACTTCATTTCTGTTCCCACGAGAAAATCCCAGAGTTCCCATGGTCTCACTCCACATGTCTCACATTTGGTAATGAAATTAGTAAGGTTCAGTGAAGTGCCGATAAAAAAAAAAATAATAATAAATAAAAAATGGGACCGTGCGGAGTTGGCGATTATTTTATCGAAATTGATTGAATTATATTTTCGATGCAAAATAAAGCGATTATCGGTAAAAAGTAAAAAAAAAAAGTTAATAAGTAAAGGGACATTTTCATAAGTAAAAATTAGAATAGATTGGACTTCAGTGAAGGGGGGGGGTGTTTGTTGTAAGTGCAATAAATACAGTATCGAAATGAACCTTTTTCACCAACACTTAACTTTAATAAAGTGCTATCTATCTCTATCTAAATATAAGATGCCACGACCAGTATTTCCATTAAGGGTCAGAATGGTAAAGTGTAAACGGTTCCCATAAAAGCACCTTTTTTATGACGTGTCGTCAGTGGCACCTGTCAGCCAATCAGCGGCGGGATGAGGGCCAGTGAAAAGCAGCCTCAGGCAGCGGCGACCTTATTCTTCTTCTGCAGCTGCAGCACAGACAGGGACGTTTGACAGTGGAACATGACCAACAAACTTTTAGATCCCACCATGGACTCTGACGCCAGGCACAGAAAGAGGGTAAGAATTCAAAACTGGTCGATATTTCCTGAAAATATTACTTTTATTGGTTACTAAAATATGTTATTTATATAATCAGTGAAGAACATCTGAGGTCCTCTCAGCATCTCATTTAGCAACGTTTTATTATCATTGTTTTTTTTTCAAATTTATTAGTGTTGTTGTCAATATGTTGATTAATGAACAGCAGTGGATTTTTAAGCTTTTTATTCAGAGAAAAACGAGACTATTGGGACATATAATTCATCGTAACTTTTCAATTTTCATATGTATAATAATGCCCAAATTATTATTATTATTTCAATGCTGTGAAATGGTGAAGTCAACTCCGTCCTGTGTGTTTTTCCAGATCCTGAAGCCAGTTGTTGAAAAGAAGAGACGAGATCGAATAAACCAAAGTCTGGCTGAACTGAGGAGTTTGCTGCTGAAACATACGTCAGATCCAGTGAGTCCTGTCTAAAAAAAAAACATGGACGCTATCTGTGTGAAATGACCTCAGACTGATTATAATTTGTGGATGTTTAAACCCACAGCGTCTGCAGAATCCTAAAATCGAGAAAGCGGAGATTCTGGACCTGGCGGTGGAATACCTACAGAGATGGACCGAGGAGGGGAAACCAGAAAATGGTATAAATACAGTAAAATAGTTCAAAAGCTTGCGTTTAGAAAGGGCAGAAGTCACAATCCAGTGTTGTTGTAGAGTCTAATCTACAGTTTCTCATCTCTCTCTGTCTGTGTTCCGTAGAGATCCAGATGAAGACTCATGTTCCTGTGGTCAGACTCCATCACTCAGAGCCCAGTCTTCCATCCCTCAGCATTCAGAACGCAGGCTTTCAGCAGTGCATGGCTCAGCTGGGCAGCTACATGCACAAGATAGCACCGGCACAGAGAACAAGTCTGATGGAGGGACTGAAGCGTCACACAGAGACAGAGACACAGACGCAGCAGCAGCAGCAGCAGCAGCAGAGGCCAGAGTTCAACCTACTCGACGCAGCCTGTACGGATCCAGTCTGCACGTCTGACTCGTCCAGAGAAGACTCGTCCAAGTTCCCCTTTTCGTCCCATTCTCCATTTCAGCCTCAGTCCTGTTCCTCACCCTGCCATGACTACCTCACCCCTCCCTCCTCCCCCTGGTTCTCCCCTTCTTCTTTCTCCACATATGCCACGTCTCCTCCGTTCCCGTCGTTCACCTCTCACTTCACCTTTCCCCCCAGCCTGTCACCTCCGTCTTCCAACACCTCCCTCTACAGTTTCTCACCCACGGGCCCTCACACCGGCCCTGCTGGCCCTCACTTCCCCTCCACCGCCGCTCCGAGAACCTCTCCACACCTCACACAGAGGGACGGCTCACAGCTGAACTCCTCTTCCTCCACGTGGAGACCCTGGTGTTGATCGGGTCGATGAGCTCTTTAAAAAACAGACTGAAGGAGTGAATGAACCGATCAGAGACTCTTCATTATTGTACAGTGTAAATATCACAAAAGTGTATTATATTTTTATTTGTCTTGTGAATAAACCAAGTTCATGATCTTTGAAAAGATTCATTTTTTTATATTACAACAGCTGATAAATGACAGAAACATAGATGAGAAAAGAGTTTAATAATGAATTTAATGTTATGTCATGTCAGAGTGAAAAAGAAAAAAGGAGAATATTTCTAAATAAATTACACATTTAACACATAACATTGAAGGAAATCTTGATTAACAACACAACAAATTTTATTTCCCAAAAAACACAGACATGCATGAGGAACATTTAAAGAAAAAATGTAAACAGTATATTATTTAAATAAGAATATTTTAAAAAATGTTATGTAAACAATATATTATTTAAATAAGAATATTTTTAAAAATGTTAAAAAAACTAAAATAAAACAGAAAATCTATCGTAAACATGAGTTGACTGTATATCAAGTTCAGTGAACGATATTTGTTTTCATTCTGATATGTTCAAACCGAAGGGGACACTGTTGTGACGTCACTCATATACAGCGGACGCGAGGAAAGTAGGCCCCACTCACTATCACTATCATCTCAGGGCAGTGATTGATTTCCGTCACACTCCGCGCCGGTGTCACTCACAGGTTCACCCTGACATTGTACCCATCCGCCACCCGCAGAGAGGCGGCAAGATGGAAGCGACCGGGAAAAAACAGACAGTTCACCGTGAGTGGTGAGTAGAAAATACTCAATAACAGTCAGAAAACCCGTGGAGGCCAATAAGGAATGAGTTTTGTGCCATAGCGACAGGGTAACTGCTAAACTAGCCGACGTTTAGCATACGGCCTATACGTTTATGTATGAAGCAAAAATAGTTAGCTAGCTAGCTAGCTAGACCAGTGCTGCTCAATCCACGATCCACCAATGAAAATATTTGTCATCAAGTTCACCACTATGACTAACAACAAAATAAAGAAACACAGGCCTAAACTATTTACCTAAACTATTTACCTAAGCTATTTACCTAAACTATTTACCTAAACTATTTAATATAGTACGGGATCAATAAAGTTCAACCATAGTTCTTTTTCCAAGCTAACGTAGTGAAGCTACATTAACTGTTTCAAGTTAAACAGCTAACTGCTAAATGCTACCACTAAAACTGAAGTCCAATTGTGAATATTTTTTAAATTTACGTTATATTAGTTTGTTGCTTTTTTATTTTCTCTAATCCATATTATTCAGATCTCAAATCATTTATTCATTTTGCATCAATTGTAATATTAAAAAAAACAACTTTCCATGAAGTGTTGTTTGGTGCATCAATTGTAATATTAAAAAAAAAACTTTCCATGAAGTTTTGCATCAATTGTAATATTAAAAAAAAACTTTCCATGAAGTTGATGTTGTTTATGTCAAGTTCATTGAGTTATTTTCCTTATAAAATGCACTGTACAAATAAAACTCCCTTGCCTTGTGTACCACTAGAGAGAGCCAAAGTCCTACATGGTGTGCGTGCCATGGTTTGAGACCCACTGGTCTAGATTACTTAAAAGTTACCATTTTGAGACCTCATGAAATAAGAAAAATAATGTTTGAAAATAAGGAAATATTGAAATGTGGAAATGTGACAAACTAAAATAGTTTATTTATTTACTTTAGTGCCACGGTCCAGTGAATGTGACAATTTTCACTTTGCTATGTGTTTGTGTTTTGATGGATAATTTTAGTAAACAAAGTGTTGTGTTCATACATGTGCTTCAGTTCAAAGCACTTGGGAAATAATTATTACAACAATTGTCAGTGGAACTTTTTCTTCATTGTCATATTTATTTATTTAGTATTTAAACAAATAATTATGATTTTTGTATGAGAAGAACCTTATTTAAACCAACAGGACTTGCTTCCAAATTTCTCATTGTGTGGTTTGTGCTTAAATCGCCCCTGTGAGTGACTGTATGTCATTATTGTGGAGAAATTTTTATTTTCTGGTGGAAAAAAACTGAGCTAAGTTGATAGTGTCAGGCATGTTGTTATTGTGCAGACATTCTGTCTTGTGACCAACAGAGGGCAGCATTGACACGGTATAGCGTGTGACGGCCCTCGGTCTCCTTTGACCTCTGAACACCAAGAGTTGTAGAATGCAAGGCGGTCATATGGACATGTTGGAGGATGTCGTTGAGCTTCTCCATCATCAATAATCCATGGTGCACGATCGTCACTCTTCTCGCCTTCTGTTTTCTCGAAGCCCAACCCCACATTAAGCCGAAGA